AACCAATCTGTGGTATACCCATACGATGGAATACTACTCATCAGGAAAAAGAACAATCTTATACATGAAAAATTGATGAATCTCAAAAGTATGATGTTAAATAAAAGATGTCAGACTCAATAGGCTACATGTTATACAATTCCATTTAAATGAACTAAATTCGGGAAAAGACAAAATTATGGAACAAAACATTGTCCAATGATATCACTATGAATGCTATTGAGTTTTATATGTTCATTTTGTATCCTGCAGCTTTACTGAATTTATTTATCACTTCTAAATGTTTTTGGATAGAGTCTTTAAGTTTTTTAAAATATGAGATCATGTCATTGCAAACAGGATAAATTAACTCCTTTCCAATTCATATGCCTTTTCTTTCCTTCTCTTGCCTAATTGCTCTGTCTAGGACTTCTAGTAGTATGTTGAATAAAAATGTAAAAGTGGGCATTTTTGTCTTGTTCCAGACCTTAGAGGAAAGGCTTTCAATTTTTCCCCATTCGGTATGATGTTAGGTGTGGGTTTGTCGTACATGGTCTTTATTGTTCTGAGGTAAATTTCTTCTATACTTTGTGGAGAGTTTTTATCTGGAAGGGATGTTGAATTTTATCAAGTGCTTTTTGTGTGTCTATTGAAATGATCATATGGTTTTTGTCCTTCATTCCATTGATGTGATATATCATGTTTATTGATTTGGGTAGCTGAACCATCCTTTCATCTCTGGGATGAATCCCACTTGGTCATGGTGAAGAATCTTTTTGATGTGCTGTTGGGTTTGGTTTGTGAGTATTCTGATGAGGATTTTTATATTATATTTATCAGGGTTATTGGCCTGCAGTTTTCTTTCTTTTCTTCTTCTTTTTTTTTTTTTTTTAATATCTTTGTCTGGTTTTGATATCAGGGTAATGCTGGCCTTATAGGATAAGTTTGGAAGAATTCCCTCTCCTTCAATTTTTTGGAATAGTTTGAGAAAAGCCTGTATTAGTTCTTTAAAAGTGTGGTAGAATTCAGCAGTGAAGCCATTCAGTCCTGGAGTTTTCCTTGCTGGGAGATTTTTTATTACTGCTTCAATCTTGTTACTCTTTATTGGTTTGTTCATTTTAGAACTATTTGATTCTACATATTTCTTAGAAAGTCTTTGTGTACCCTCAAGGGTACATGCAGACTACTTTGATTACCACTATTCAAGTATAAGATCAATTAGATGCCCCTCTGCAAAGACTAGTATAACTCTAGGTAACTGGTTGTACAAATATTTTGGTCTCTCCCAGGGGACTCTGAGTTCTGTAACAACAGAGATGATATCTTATTAGTCTTCTATCATCTCGGTGTCCTGAAAAGCCATAATAAGCCCTACAAATGTATGAATCAAATGAATGAATATGTAATTCTAATGACTCAAATGAGGCTTAAAATTATGGTTAGCAATTACAGAAATAGGTCATGCACTTAGAAGTCTACAGTTTTCAAAATCCCAAATCATGTCAAGAATTAATCGAATTACATAGATGTGGTTAACTTTGAAATTGCAGTTTTCTTTTTCATGATTGTAAATATTCCATTTAAAAAAAGTATTACCTG